TTCAGTTGAGTGAGGGGTTAGTGAGTGTGTCGAACATGATCAGGAGCCCTCGTGCGTCACCGGTTGCATCACTATGAATCATAGAGATGGTGCAATATTCAGGGAACGGTTTGTCTTTAATTAATTATCAGACTTTGCTGAATCAACTACCTGATGAGTTTCGTCGAGTCATCCACCCAAGCAGAAACGTCGCTTGTATGATTTATTACACGAGCGCTCTCATTGTAGGTCACATAATCGGTGCTCTCCGCCTTGTATTGCTCAACTTAAGGAAGTGTGCACATCTGTTCTAGGTGTCTCTCTCTGTCTCTCAATCCTGTCCTCGGCAGTAAAGCGTTAACAATTAACTTTAGGGAATCGGCTTGTAAACAGAAGTGCTGTAAAACTCAATAGGTCACAGGACATTACACTTTGTAAGGTAAAATTCAATGCAGGCTCTTGTTGCAGCCTTGTAACAAAAGGACATGCACCATCCAGTCTGTGGAGACAGCGGCGAGGCATTTGGAGTTGAAAGAGAAACTCTGTTTGGTTATTTCACACTTTTCATTTTACAGTACAGGGTCCATGAGTTTGCAGTGATTCTCCCGGGATCTTGCGGTAGGTGATCACTGCCGAGACGAGGGGAAAAAAAAGGGCACAGAGCCACGAGGCGATGGAAAAACTAATCAACGGCCAAAACTCTGCAGCTGAACTTCAGCTACCAACCGTGTTTATGGACCTGTTGCGGGCTTTGCAAATGCAAACCTCAGTGGTCTAGGTTTATCACCCCCAGAGATACCTATGATTAGCTCTCCACGCCACCAGTCATATATCTCCGCTGTCCCACCTCCCCGCGTTCAGGATTACCCATTAAACAGGGATGGAGAAATGGAGAGAACATGAGTAGGAGGTGGGGAAACGACAGGGAGCAGAAATGCTACCTGTAGTTAGTGTAATGGTGGTGTTTACTCAGCCTCTGCCTCTCTCGGCGCAGCTGTGTCTTGCATTGTCTGCCTGTAGACTAGCTTTTCTGTACGGGTGGCCACTCCCTTGCCACACACGGGGTGGGGGGGTGGGGTGGGGGGAATATGCAAACAAGATAGGTGAGCGTTGGGTGTTTGTCCTCCCCTCCCTGCTAACGCAAACACTTTCTGGTCTTCCTCACTTCTCCAATTCAGATGTTTCTATCCAGTTGTTAATTACTCCTCTAAATCTCTTAGTAAGTCCACTGCCGATTGTACAATTTATACACTACAGAGTCTCTATGTCACGCTCTGCATTCCTGATAACTCCAGAAACGGTTAGGAAGCTTCTTCCTAAAGCATTAGGAGTGGATTCACTGTTGAAGGTTTTATCAAGTTCATCCCAGTGACCTTGTCTTCTCTGCTGTAGCGTCTCTTTGTTTAAACAAGATGTTACCACAACAGAATCATCTGTCCTAATAGGATACGTGATCTTGACACATTGACAAATGGGACGTCCAGCGCTTCTCTACAAATGGTGCTCAGCCTCCGAATCGCCACCCACAACCCGAATCTGTGGATCAAGTTGTAAAAGTTCAGGAAAGGTCTTTTTCTGTTCTTTAGAAGCAGTTTGAAACTGTTTATTAAACAGGTCCTCCCCTATGCGGTATTTTCTCAAAACATGGCCTTGTTGGAAGGGGCAATGAGTTTAAGGATATGACGAAAAGCTGTTTCTATAAATACGGTGTGTTTATATTACTGTTTGTTTGCTATAAACTACAGACGTTGGTGAACAAGGCTGCAAGATGATTCAGTTTTGTGAAAATATCATGTTGGAGCTGGACCCTGAACATTCCAAACCCTCTCTGGTTGTTTCTCCCTTTTTCCCGGTGAAATTGGTCAAACTAAACTGTAAGGCTGGATGGAGGATTCAGACCCTGACTATGCTTGGATTTGTTCATAACCCTAACTTTCTTAAATCCACCTCTGTAATATTTGTGGAGCTTTACCTCAGGGTCATCTGTTGAATTGTCAATTTTATCCCGGGCCTGAGATCATAAGCGGCTTTGGAATAAGTTTTTGATTTGTCCTCTGTATCTTAATTCCTTTCATAGTGACCATTGTCTTGTTTTAATTCGAGCATCCATATCCTGGACATCCGCCGAAGGTTTTAGGCATTTTTCATTTTAGAATAATGAAGGCTGCCATGCTTTTTATTACCTCAAATGCTGCAGAGATGGTCTCGGATAATTTCCCAGATCTTCGCCTTAATCAGGGCCATCTCGAGGTTGTGTCGAGCTCAGAACAAAATTAAATTTGGGGGGCCAGTTCCCAGCCAAGCCAGTCGCTCATCGCCGCCAACCGCACCACTTTAGCTTTAGAACAATCAGCTCCAGAATTCTGCTTCTGATGAAATAATCCGAATGATCATTTTAGCCATAATTATCCGGCTGCTCACCCTCTCCTCTCTCTCCCACACACCCCTGACCAGGCTCGGGAAGGAAATCATTACTAAACCAGCAGGATTCACCATGCATCCACCCCCTACATCTTCACACTGTTTTTATCTCCCACATTCTTGCAAACAACAGACAACAATGTCTCCTTGTTTGCTGAGCCATTTGCTCCGATTTTGGATCACGCTGCACCATTTACACGTTGGTGCCCAGCCCACCTCTTGTTTGCTCTGTCGCGGCAGCACAAACGCACACAGTAGCCAGACTTGTCCCAAAGTATTTCAGCACAGCTGGGAGGGACCAGGCTTCACTGGGGTAAATAAGCAGCTAAATAAATAAAGAATAAGCCTCGCTCTAGGATTTTGTCTCATTGAAGATGAAAAGCATCTGCCTCTTTCTGGCGTCTGCTGCGAAAGATATCCCTCCACCGCCAAGGGTTTGAAGCCCGGCAAGTAGCCAACTTTGTCGAGCTTCACTCACTTCCTCTCCGCCAACGTGAACAAGAGCAACACTGGCGTACATTAAAATGAATGTCATAACAATTCCATTTTTGGTTCTTTTTAAAACACAGGAAAGGTTTCTCTTTTCCTTACCTTTCCTGTGTTTTAAAAAGAACCAAAAATGGAATTAGAAACTAGACACAGTAAGACCATACCAAAGAGTGTCATAACAAATTAGTCAGCCACTAAAATTGATGTGAGTTACGCTCACTTTGCTGCGCTAACTTGGGGTATTAACTTGAAATAAAAATGGGGTCTTAACATCTTTAAATCCTGCTGCAGAGTGGGGGCGTGATCCACCTTTTTGGTGTCCTCAGCTGCATTTTTGTGCAGTTTTTCTTCACCAGACTGCAAACGACTTGGCACACCAGCAGTTAACCGCTTTCCCAATAACACTGAAAAAATAGAAAGTCTTTAAGAGTTTCAAGTCACTTCAGTTGGTTTTTCCATAGTCTACGTGCCGGCCAGAGTGTATTACTGCTTGATACGATCACAAACTCCCTCTGACAATGGATGGCGTTCACTGTACAGTGTTTGGAAATTCCTTAGATGCAAGGTGTGTCAGGAATCGGAAATTAGACATAAAAGGCAACATTCCTGCCCAGAGACGAGCAGTGATGAAGAGCAGGCTGTCAGCGCCATACATCGTCGTGCGTGCCCAGGTGAGGCACCGGCCCTGACTCATATACCGCGTTCCTTCTTGTTGTCTTATTAAGTCATGCATGGATTTGTCTTTCAACGACGTCAAAAGGGTTCAAAAACAATATTGGGTTACACAAAAAGAAGCATCGACTTTCTGATCTGCTACGATTTCTGCCTCACTGGATGTTTGCATTAGTCCATTTTAACAAAGATGGCGGTCACCTGTAGATTTTCCTCCATTTTCCACCCGCATTGTAAGAGCCACATGAGTAACGGGCTACTCAAGACCTCCACGGGCTCCAGGATGGTTTTTTCTCTACCAGATACTGGAGGCATTGTGTTCCTGACACTCTAACTTGCTTAGCTGAACTGAATAGACTAAAGCTGACTGGCCACCCAGCGAGCCTCAAGACATTCTGCATTGTCAACTCTGCTCCCCCTCCCCCAACAAAAGAGACATCATTGAGTATTGTTCATCGTTACTCTAAAGTGGGCGGCTTAACTTAAATATTCTCTTTTTAATAAAAACGAATGCAGAGAAATCAACCACAAACTTTTCTCTTCCAAGGTCGGCTCTTTCTCCGAGTCTCTGCTCCTGCAGCTTTAATTCCTTTTGAAAGAGAGATATAGCTCCGTGCTTTTCTTTGCAGCTTTATAAATGACTCATCACAGTTGGCCACTGGCTAGAGAGTGCATTAGAAATGTAGTTATCTCAATTTATAGGCACACAATGTTAGTTTGTTTATAATGGCATCAGACATTCTAACTGGAGGCAGTAAAAAACTTAAGGTCATGTTTTAATAAGTTGGCTGAGTTACTTCTGACAGTAAATCTGTATCTTTATTTCTTTTGTTCTGTCGAGCGCTTTGGTTGATTGTTGTTAATGTGTGCCTCGCCTGCTTCTTCCTTGTTGACCGGCCGACGTCGGACGTGTGGCGTGTTGCAGGTTGATATATGCGACCGTGCTGTAATTCCATGAGATCATGGCACTCGGTGTGATTTGAAACCATCTGGATGGCACTGTTTCAATTTCCTAATGGGAAACATTACGTGGGCTGTGGTCCTTTGGGACGTGTATTTAGGCGGTCCTTTGGGTTCTTAACCGACCCCGTTGTGAGGGGCTGGCTGAGCTGCATCCTGACCCTTCTTTTCATTCTGATCTCTTCATTCTGCAGAACTACACCACGTTGGTGTTTCATCTCCTCTGCCGATGTTCTACATTCACTTCACTCTGCCCTGAGCAGGGTTTGTTTTGGGTATTAGTTGCCTTGTTGATCATGAACAAAGATCTGTGTTGTGTGCTGTACACCTAAATGTTTTGTCGTTTAGTTCTACTCTGCGACTTGCTTTTGATAGTTCTAACTGTGTTTTTGCTGCTCATTATAATATATGTAAATACACGAGGAGTTTGAATACTAATGTTTCCGTACTCCTTGTTCTGCATGTTTTTGTTCTCCTAGGTGTTAGTCTTTGATCCTGTCAGAGTGGGACACGTCTAGCAGAGGACCGAGGAGCACCGTCTTCAAACATGGTGCCTAGTATTCACCTGGCAAGACCCCTCCGGCCTCGAGGGGCATTGCTGTTCCCGCTTCTGCTCAGCTCCTTGGTGTTCTCCTTTCAGGCAGACAGTAAGTAACCTCACTCACCTGTGGCGTGCATTGCTTTGCTTACAATGTAAAAACCACTCGAGGGATTTTGACACAAGAATTTCAGCATTTCATTTTACTGAATGAGCAAAGACAATCCACTGTTTTGAGGGAGATTTTAACACAGAGACGAACTGATTCTGGGATCCTCATTTAGCTACAACCTGCAAATATCAGTTTACTGAAAAAGCTATGATAAACAGAATTTGTATTAAGTTGAAGATTAACTATAAAATGATCATCCTTGAAGTAATAACTCCCACATAGTAGATCTGTTGTTGCTGGCTTGAATTAGCACCCAGTAATTTTGTCATCATGGGCTGGAAAGCGTTTATTCGGTTATTTATTTATTGCTGCGTGGCATTTTTGTGTTCGACTCAAGTTTTGGATCACCGATTAACCCAATTCTGGTTAACATTTGAATTTTATTTTAGAAGGTGTGGGTTAGGGTTAGGGCTAGGGTTAATTAAGGTCGTTTTCTGTGTTAAAAAAGACGGACATTGGTTTTATTGGCCGAAATCAAAACTTTTAACCGGTGCACATAACAGTAATTTAATATGGGTAAAACACAGATTCCAGTTTGAATAAATGGCTGAAACATTCATCTCTGAGCTCTGAATGCATGACTCAAGTTCTCCAGTGTCTTTCTGAATGTCAGTTTTTGTCAAAAAAAGAAGACATTTTGAAAGATGTGCAGACCGTAAGGTCTCGGGTGGAGCCACGAGGCACACCCCCACCAAAGACGAGGTCAGGAACAGAATTAATTCAACACATGACCTCACCTATAGTGCTGTCACTGGGGTCACTGTAATTCAATTATGCCCCAAGCCCACCCTAACCCCCCCCCACCACCATGCCAATCCAACCACAGCAAGAGCTCTGTCCTTTCAAACATGCATCAAAGAGGATTTGTTTTTCTGTCGCCTTTGCCTTTTGTCTCTAAGGCCTGTGCTCTCTTGGAGTGTCTTCTGCACGGCATCACAGTTGGCGTGACCTTGTAGAAAGATGCTGTCCTGTCTTCTTCTCTTTTTTGCTATTTGACAAGTCTCGCCATTGCTTTGCTTATAATTTGATCTGATCAAATCAAATCCTGACCAAGTCTGGAGTGTGTAGGTTAAGATATTACATCATCTCTCCACAGAGATGAAAAAAGTTGCTTTTCACCATTCAACCAAAATCCTTTTATAGAGTAAACTCTGAATTAAAAATCCAAACGGGTGTAAGCGAGGGAAGAAAATCCAAAGCATGACTCATCAATTTCAGTTTTGTTTCATTTACTCTCGTTTCACTTGTGAGAATTTTATTGAAACCAAAAGAAAGAAATCTAATCTTTAGTAAGCAGTTTTTAAAGATTATAAGGAAAATGCCAACGCCATGACCACAGAAGGTGAGAAGACATTTGCAAATGCTTAATCTGTCAGATTAAAATATACAGCGTTTCTAATCTATATTGTACAGATACCTGCGTCAAAAAGTTAATCATAAGCAAAAGTGCTGAAAAACGATTAGCATTCCATGAATGTTTGCTTATTTGTGAATGCATTTCCCTTTATGTGACAAGTTGCCGATGTGGCATCCACTTGGCGTTCTTTTAAAGACGCACACAGCCCGCCACAGTTTTTACCCTCCGCCTTCTTGCCCCTCTGAGCGTTGCACCACCCTGGTCTCTAGTTTCACCGAGCATGTCATTTACAGATTAAAACACAGCGACAGGCATTTTAACTAACTGACAAAGATATTCTGATGCCTCAAGTTACTACATGTTTTTCTAAACTGCAGCCAGACTCCTACACATAAATAAAATGAGGGTTAAGGGGAAAAGAAAAGGAAGTTCAGATATAATGGATCCATTTAAAAAAAAAAAATCTCGGTAGTCTGGGGTTTATCTGCAAGCACACAGAGAAGGAGAGCTGCTATTATCCACCCTGTAAAGGCAAAAGACGTAGAATTAAAATAAGACAGCTGTGGGGGTCAAAAATAACACCTACCACTAATGGCAGGGTTGTTTGCGTTTGGTGCCTTTAATTTGTATGCAGCTTAGTTGTGTGAGCTTGATATTTCTGGTTCAGATCTGCTGTATTACAGGGCAGACACCAGACAAATATTATGACCAGGGTGCCAGGCAAGTTGCTGATTACACGGGTTCAGTCGGGTGCCCTTGTATCGCCTCCCTCTCTCAACAACCCTCTTCAAGAACACGAGCAGGCAAAGAAACCACAGGCGGAAAACGTGCACTTATGCGAGAGCTATGTGCCGTTTTATCTGTGTTTCCATAAAGCAACTGCACGGGACAAATGAGTACAAAAGTACGTGAGATCTATCAGTGTTGCGGCTTTGTGAGATCATTCATCTTATATCATCATTGAGTCGACAAACAATCCAACGTGATTAGACTGAGTGCTGATCATAGTCATCCCATCGATCCCCGGGGAGCTCGGCCTAATCAAGCCTGCCTCCATACGACCCTCTCCAACACAATAGGCGCCGCAGCACGCAAGGTCAGCGTCAAAGTCACACGCACGCAGCACTTAAACGCAATGGTTATCTTTCTCTGCCGCTGTCATTGTGAGTTATTTCATTGGCTTTAATAAGCTTTTGATGTATGTGCCTCATCTTGTTCTTATGTTGTTATCTGGGGTGGGTTTCCTGTGAGGAGGCCGCCGGACCACCAAGGCCTTCTTTCCCTTTCGCAGGAATGAGCCGACACTATAATCAACTTAACAAGTTTAAAGGACTTTTTACATCTAATCACTAACTTTTTACTGTCCTGTTTGTGATCGTCTGCACGCCACAGCAGAGCAACCATGCTACATTAGTCCTTAAGATGGTTTCTTTGCCATTGAGCTTCTTTATTGTTCAACGACTCGACCATAAACAAGAAGTCTCCTGGGCTTTGTGCTAATTATGTATGTATGTACCCCTAAAATCCCCCTTATAGCTTCAGGGCATTTAATTGTAAATCCAGAAGTGTTTGCAAAAGTCTTTAAATCCACATTTTTGTGCTGCTTGTACCTTTGCGTTAACCTCTGCAGATTGATTTGGCAGTTTCTTAAGCTCAGACAATGGATTGATGCACTGGAAATGCCAAAGGAGATGGGTGACCAGATGGGAGGCTGGTGAGGCCTGGAAATTGGATTATATTTTTAAGTGTCCATATGGTCACCCAGTTCAAACACTGTCGGGGACAAAAATTGATTCTATTTTAATTAAAAGTAACCACATCCACCTTGGAGAGGCACTCGGAGAGTAATGCAGTTAGCGCCCAGCTGCGGTCCACTCGCATCATACGAGACGGCCTCGCTGAAAGCACGAATTCGGTAGAGGGAGAGGTAAACAACAGAAAATGTACTCCGTGGAAGCAGTTGGGAAGTAATAGAATGTGGGAGCGGCGTCTGCGGAGATGAAGTGTGTGAGAATTTTAGAGGCTGAGGAGATTTGATGGGAAGTTGTTTTCATAAGCCACTGCAGCAGTGTCAGAATACAGGGAGGGAAGTGTCATCGGAGGTTAATGGTGTGAGATTAATAGTTTAATTAGCAAGCTCAATTGCAGGGCTGGAGGCAGTCACCCAAACTCTCTGCTGTGTCCTGGTCTCAGCAGCAGCAGCACAGGATGACAGGGACCATCAGTGTCATTCCAGGAAAGGGCAGATGAAGAGAGACGTTTCAGTTCTGTGTTCATAATCATTCCTTCTTTGACAGAAGTAACTTTGCTTCCTCTATGCCAGACGTCACGTTTCCTTTCTGATATTCTCACTTAATGTTAGTCTGGTCTGATGTAACACTTTAGTCATAGATGCTCCTAAAACATCCTTTATTTTCTATTTAATGTTGGTTTTAAGGATCTGTGCAGACACTAACAGAGAGTGCGTTTTGCAGTGAAGGGTTCGGTCATCGAGGGTTGTTTGACTAGAAATAGCTGGGCTTTCTTTTTTATTTCTTTAACAGAAGTTTAACGTGCAGGCTGAGCGTGGAAATAGTCTCCTACCCCTATTTCCTGCATTCGCTTCTGATACAAAATAAACAGAAAATTCATGGACTCACCCATCTTGACTCACGACGGGGAAGGCTGTTGGTGGTTTAGGGTCCAGGAAACAGCAGATAACGTCTCAACTAGCAGAAGCTAACTGTTAGCATTAGCAACTCCACCACACAGCAGAACTCCTCCAGGCTTGTGTTATTTGTGGTGATAAAACATCAACTTTGCAAAAGAAACCAAGTGGTACAGTCGCATTGCTGTTAGCCAATCAGAGACAAGATATCAGGAAATGACTCCAAATCCTGGCGTCTGCTGCCACTTGCTCCTCCGGCAAGCGTCGTCTAACAGTAGTATCTGAAATTTTTTCCACCAGAGTTCAACTTACAAGGCAATTGTTTCTACTAGAGACCACTGAAAACGTATTTAACCCTCTCAGGCTCAAAATAAGTTTTGATAAAAGGACGAACAACTAAGTCCTTCAGGGGTACTTCTGAGTTAAAAATGCTCATGAAATACGTATGTGGAGTAACCAGGTAGGTAGGTTTTAACGTTGCACATCTGCAACGCCTGCCTCCAGAGGGTTAAAACACGAGGGTTAAGGTTATTCAAATCAAAGAACGCTTCACCATTTGGATTGAATTGTGAAATGTTTTCAACTATCAAAAGAAATTCAAATTGCTTCTGTTTGACCCTTCCATCAAAGAACGCTTCGGCGAGTCAGAATCTCTTTAGCTGTTTTTACAAAGCAATGCCGCCAATTTGCCACAACGCTGTGGCGACATCAGAGACCCTTAGGTCTTTTATAAGGGGTCAGACCTTGGCTGTAATGTGGTGCAATTGTGTCCTTTTTTTTTTAAATAAAAGATTAGGTGATGGAGGCGTAAAGATGGTCTGGGGACAGTCTCTGCGATGCTGCAGACTTCCATTTGTCTTGTTTTGCCTTTTATTGCTATTGAAGCCGCGATCGTTACGGTTTTTTAACAAGCCGCTCCTAAAGGTGTCTGTC